AGACTGCTTTTCGAACGAGGTATGGGCATTATGAATATTCTGTTATGCCGTTCGGAGTTACTAATGCACCTGGTGTTTTCATGGAATATATGAACAGGATTTTTCACCCGTATCTGGATAAGTTTGTTGTGGTTTTTATTGATGACATTCTGATTTATTCCAAGACTGACGAAGAGCATGCGGAACATCTCAGAATTGTGTTAGAGTTGTTGAAAGATAAGAAGTTGTATGCAAAGTTGTCCAAATGTGAGTTCTGGCTGAATGAAGTTAGTTTTCTTTGACATGTGATTTCTAAGAATGGTATTGTCGTGGATCCTACAAAGGTAGAAGCAGTATCTCAGTGGGAAGCGCCGAAGACTGTTTCTGAAATCAGAAGTTTTCTTGGTCTTGCAGGTTATTACAGAAAGTTTATCGAAGGATTCTCAAAGTTAGCATTGTCGTTGACAAAGTTGACTCGTAAAGGACAAGCGTTTATTTGGGATTCGGAATGTGAGAAAGGTTTCCAAGAATTGAAGCGGAGATTGACTAGTGCTCCTATTCTGATTTTGCCGAATCCGGTGGAATCTTTTGTGGTTTATTGTGATGCATCTCTGATGGGTAGTTGCGTATGCTTCGAGACAGTTGAAGGTTCATGAAAGGAACTATCCTACTCACGACTTAGAGTTGGCAGCAGTTGTGTTTGTCTTGAAATTGTGGAGACATTATCTGTATGGTTCGAGATTTGAAGTGTATAGTGATCATAAGAGTTTGAAGTATCTTTTCGATCAGAAAGAGCTCAATATGAGGCAAAGAAGGTGGTTGGAATTTCTCAAAGATTATGATTTTGGTTTGAATTACCATCCTGGTAAGGCAAATGTGGTTGCAGATGCTTTGAGCAGGAAATCCTTGCATATGTCTATGATGATGGTTCGTGAATTGGATTTAATTGAACAATTCCAAGATTTGAGTTTAATTTGTGAAAGTACTCCGAAGTGTGTTCGTTTGGGTATGTTGAAACTTACTAGTGGTATTCTAGAAGAGATCAGGATCGGGCAGAAATCTGATGTTAATTTAGTTGATAAATTGACATTGATCAACCAAGATCAAGGTGGTGAGTTTAGAATTGATGAGAATGATGTTATGAGATTTGGCGATAGAGTTTGTGTTCCTGATGTCGCAGAAATCAAGAAGAGTATATTAGAGGAAGGACATCGCAGTGGGATGAGTATTCATCCGGGTGCCACGAAAATGTATCATGATTTGAAGAGATTGTTTTGGTGGCCGGGAATGAAGAAGGAAATAGCTGAATTTGTGTATGCATGTTTAATCTGTCAGAAATCGAAGATTGAGCATCAGAAGCCGTCTGGAGTTATGCAGCCGATGTTTATTCCAGAATGGAAGTGGGATAGTATTTCTATGGATTTTGTATCCGGGTTGCCGAGGACTCCTAAAAATTGTGAAGCGATATGGGTAGTTGTGGATAGACTGACTAAGTCTGCTCATTTCATACCGGTGCGAATGGATTACTCAATGGAGAGATTGGCACAGTTATATATTGAGAAAATAGTGAGTTTGCATGGAGTTCCTTCTAGTATTGTGTCAGATAGAGATCCGAGATTCACTTCGAAATTTTGGGAAGGATTGCAGAAGGCTTTGGGTACTAAATTAAGGTTGAGTTCAGCTTACCATCCTCAGACTGATGGACAGACGGAGAGGACGATTCAATCGTTAGAAGATTTATTGCGTGCTTGTGTTTTAGAGAAGGGTGGAGCTTGGGATAGCTATTTGCCATTGATTGAATTTACTTATAACAATAGTTACCATTCGAGTATTGGTATGGCTCCGTTTGAGGCATTGTATGGTAGACGGTGTAGAACGCCTTTGTGTTGGTATGAATCTGGAGAGAGTTCAATAATTGGGCCAGAGATTGTTCAGCAGACTACTGAAAAGATCAAATTGATTCAAGAGAAGATGAGAGCTTCTCAGAGTCGTCAGAAAAGTTATCATGATAAGAGGAGAAAGAATTTAGAATTCAGTGCTGGAGATCATGTGTTTATGAGAGTTACTCCGATGACAGGTATTGGTCGAGCGTTGAAATCTAAGAAGTTGACTCCGCGTTTTATTGGTCTGTTTCAGATTACGGAAAGAGTTGGAGAAGTTGCTTATCGTATTGCTTTACCTCCGAGACTTGCGAATTTGCACGATGTTTTTCATGTTTCTCAGTTGAGGAGATACATTCCAGACCCATCTCATGTAATCCAAATAGATGATGTACAGGTGAGAGATAACCTGACAGTAGAAACATTGCCTATGAGGATAGAAGATCGAGAAGTGAAACAGTTAAGAGGTAAAGAGATAGCATTAGTGAAGGTTGCTTGGGGAGCTCCAACAGATGGAAATATCACTTGGGAGCTGGAGAGCCAGATGAAAGAGGCTTATCCGGAACTGTTCGTCTAAGGTATGTTTTCGAGGACGAAAACTCTTTTAGTGGGGGAGAGTTGTAACACCCCAGTTTCAATTATTTGATTTATTTAATTGGGAAATTATTTTATTAGAATTAATAAAATAAAAAGAAATTATTTATTTTGGAATATTTGAAGAAAATAAAAGAAATAAGAAATATTGGGTTTTTAAGTTATTGGGCTTGGATGTTGTTAGAAAAGAGTGGGGGTGCAAAAGAAATAGGGATATGTTTTGGAACTCAAGTTATTTTTCTCATTATTCACGATAACACAGAATTTGGGATTTTGGGAAGCAGAGCTCTGAAGGTACGAAGAACGAAGAACATCGATCAAAGAGTTCAAAGCTGCAAATTGATAAGGTAAGGGGGGCTACTACTCGATTTACTTTTGCTTATGGGTTTAGGCACGGTTGATTTGGGTAATCGTAGGGAGAAACCCCAATTGTTAGATGTTCTTAGGGATCAATACCCTTAGGATTGAACCTTGTTAGAAAAGGTTTAGGTTCCTAATTTTATGAATCAATTAGGGATTTTAGGTTCCTATGGTGGATTGGATGTCTTTGTACTGCATTGCACTGCCGTAGAGAGGTATTTTCGTGCAAAAATATGGGTATATGAGCTGCTGCAAGAACAGAAAATTTGGGTTCGCGCTCATCAACACGGCCGCGTTGATTTACGCGGGCACCCGTGTTGATTCACTGTAATGCTGATAAAAATGTGTTTTCTGGCCACAATTCAACACGGGCGTGTTGATTAACACGGGCACCCGTGTTGATTCACTGTGTTGGCATAAATATGTGTTTTCTGGGCACAATTCAACACGGGCCGTGTTGATTCACACGGGCACCCGTGTTGATCCCCTGTATTGTCAAAAAAACGTGTTTTCTGGACACATTTCCACACGGGCAGTGTTGTTTTACACGGGCACCCGTGTTAAACCTCCTGTGTTGGTTTTTAAACTATGTTTTCTGTGCATGCTGTTAAGTACGGATTGATCCGGTTTTGATGTGCAGTGTTTGACATGTTTTGAATATGTGTTTATTGATTTCCTAGTGTTGATTGATGCTAGTATCGAATAACGATCGTATGTTATGATACCAACACTATATGGATTTTATTGTCATGCTTTTAGATGATGTATCAAGCATGAATTATGATATAACTTGATATGATTGATGTTTAATAGTATGCTGAGTGATTACATGCTATTCAGATCATGTTATATTTGATATTGTTGATGTTGCATGATATGTCGATTGATGTTAATAGTATGCTGAGTGTTACATACTTTACATATCATGTTGCATTTGTTAATTCCCATTGTGTGGAATTAACATGGTGGCCAATATACGTGTCCGCGATTTAATGGAATGTTGAGGTGGTAGCCGTGTCCGCGATATAATGGAACGGTGAGTTATCCGTGACCCGAGATTTAATGGGGCGGTAAAATGGTACCACATGCATGGGTGTGTTGCATTACATTGAATATGACATGAATGGATGATTTTTCCAATGTTGTATTTGATTGATTGTATGCATGTATTGATACTAAATTGTTAACGATGTTTGATGTTAATAGTAAGCATGAAAAGTATGATATTATGAATATATGAATTGTAAAGGTTTTTGTAATCTATAAAACATGCTAATTGTTGGGTGATGCTTATGGTTTCCTGAATTGATTGTTATGAACGTATAATCAAATGTATAGTTGAGATGCTCACCCTTACTGTTGAATATTTCAGATTGAGGAGCTTCGTTCAGGTGCTTGGCGAAGGCTTGTCGTTTTTAGTTTAATTCCGTTTTAGTATTGTCCGGGTCATGCTCTGATAGTTGTAACTCCGGGAACGTTTGTTTGTCGAGCTGCTTTAGTCAGACTCGTTTATTTCCTTATATTTGTTATAATATGATGTTGACATTTTTCCAGGTGTTAATCCCTGATGATTTTGAAAAATATTATAACATTGGTTTTATTAATTAAATTATTCCGCTGTGTAAACATGTATGAGTTACTACTATGATTATGCATGACAAGAATTTGTTTTTATTAAAAGAGAATTGTGACATCCTCGTTGATACATGTACTCTGAAATTATAATTTTAATTATTCGCGAAAATTTATTCGGGGTTTTTAGAGGGTGTTACAGCATGGATGTGCTGCCATTTGGAAGCTTGAATTCAACATCAGGGTTGTTTCCGTTGTAATATACATTGTTTGAGATGTTTTTCTTTGTAGCATATGCCTCTATTTATACAAACGACGATGCATTCTAGACCACACAAATTTGTCGGTGCAATCAAGACTCTCTAAAGATATCAGAAAAATCTCGACTGTTAAAAAAAATTAAATAAATGAACTACCGAAAATTTCAATATAACTCAAATTTCCGGTACTGGCTAATAAATTTGAAATTTCCAAAATACCAGAAATTTCAAATACACTACCGAAAATTTACATAAACCACAAATTTTGTTTGTATCAGGAATTTCAAACCCTCTACTGAAAATTTCGTTTGAAAATTGTTTGTAACTCAACAAAGGTAATTCTGGAATAATTGAAATGGAGGGGGGTGTAACTCAACAAAGGTAATTCTGGAATAATTGAAATTGGGGGGGGGGGGGGGGGGGGGGCATGTTTAATTTAGGAAGTGACATGTTAATTTCTCAAAAAAAAAAAAAACTTCTCCAAACCTCTCGATCCAACATCAACTTCAGAATAAATTTTAAATGTTAAATTTAAAACACTTAAAATCGATATTTTAAAAATCAAACCGAATTAAATCAGGAATCGGAGGTGACTCTGGTTTAGTTAGCCTTATAAAACCGAAGGTGAGCCAAAATCGGAGTAAAATCGGAAAAATCCGATTGAACTGCTCGTAATCATTCGAACCAAAGAATCATAACTGGTTTTGTAAAACTATCCCGTTCAAAAAAATACTTGTCATTGACTAATTTTAATAATTTTTTAAATAAAAAAATAAAAAATTATTATTATATTAACATTAATAATTAAAATATTTTTCTTTCACAAGAAAGCAACACATATCTATAAGTTATAACACTATATTTTAGCTTTTTTTTCTTTAAACGTATTATTATATTGTGTAATCATGTTTATCATTGGCGTCGTAATATTAAATTTATAATGGATTTTAAAATGTTTATTTTAAAAATTTGTGACCATATGATCATATAATTTATCTATAAAATTTAGCTTTTATATTATTAACTTATTTAATAAACTATTCGATCGTAAATTTAATCGATTAAATCAAATGAATTCTAAACTGAAAATATTGTCGGTTCGACATCCAGTCCAATCTTTAAAATATTGCTTAAAACACTAAAAACACTTGTTTAATAATTTTTTATAAAATATATATCAAATGATCATATATTATTTTGATAATTATATATTTAAAATTTTAAATAAACTAATATTTTGTAATAAAATAAAATTTGTTTATTATAAAAAAAAACTGATTTAAAATGAAGCAATTAATGAACATAATTGCCGACAAAAAAATAATTTAAAATTTCAATTTGAAAAACTCACAGCAAAGCAAACGTTTCATTTATTCTTACATATTCTCTCTGTTAAATCAAATTCATCTATTTTATGTGAACCAAACAAATCATAAAAAAACTTTTTATTTTATTTTCACATTCTTCATCTTCAACCTTTCGCCAATTCAGGAACCCCTCAAAAACCCTAGATCAATCAAATCCACCACCGTCTCGTAATTCACGGCGGCTGAAATCTCCCTTCCTTGTTTCCGATATTTGAATATTTTTCCGTTGGAATAAGTTCGATTTCAATTTCAGTTTCTAGGGTTTTTTTGGGGTTTGAAATGGGAAGCAGAAAGCAAGAAGAGAAGATTGAGAAGATTATTAGGGGGCTTATGAAGCTTCCGCCGAATCGAAGATGTATCAACTGTAATAGTTTGGTAAATTCAACTTCTTTGGTTTTAGTTATTGTGTTGTTTGATTGATTGATTTGAAGCTTAAGTAGGGTTTAGTGTGAGAATTTAGAAAGTTTGCAATGTTGATGGATTTTATGATCTAATATGGTTTGGTTGATTGAAATGCAATTTTTTTTTGTACAGGGACCTCAGTATGCATGTACAACTTTTTGGACCTTTGTTTGCATAACTTGCAGTGGAATACAGTGAGTTCCTTTTCATTTTAATGGCACTTGCTTTGTGATTCTTTGTTTTGTCGTGTATTGAATTTTCGAATGTGTTTAGTTACTTGTTTTCAGGGAGTTTTTGAACTTTTAAGACTTTTTATTAAGTAGGACAAACATGTTCTTGTTTTATTTTAGTTATCATGTTTGGTTGACATTTTCAAAACTTGTGTTTGATTAGAAAAAAGTGAGAAAATGTAGTTTTTGTGTTACGTGATGGTGCTGATACTTGCTATTATTACTTACCAAGTGTTATGGCATCCTCTTAAAAAAGATAGCATCACTATTTGGTACGCAATCTAGGATGCATAGTTACGGGTACGAGTACGGGTATGATATGCTGTAGGTTAAAAAAAAAAAGGTACGTGTAAATCAATTAAAAATATGAGTCTTCTTGAATAAAATAGGACAGGAGAGAGCTAAATTGTTCGATGCATAACAAAATATGAAAATAAAAGATTAAAAAGTCAAAAGTTGTGTTTGGTTATAAGTTACCACAACAAAGAAATTTAAATACACATAATAAATATTATTAATGTATGAGAAAGTCTCATATTTCACTCGGGATAAAGTAATGATAAAAAAATTGATTGCCAGACAAGTACCGCAGGCATACCGGATACGTATCTGGTATGGCTACTTCACCGTTTTACATATACCCATGCTCCAGAGCATGCTATATTTTTGCATGAAAATGTACCGAATTCCATATTTGTTTTTTGCAAGTTGCCTTTGAAATATACACTACTCAGCATTTTTCTAAAAAAAAACACCAATGAATATGAAGACATGCAAACAGAAATAGGTATAAACATATTGTGAACAACTTGATTAGGATTATGAATTCAAATTCATAACACACATAGGGTGTCATTACCAGCTTCGGCTAATTGTTATATTTAAATATTACTTATGGAGTCATGGCATATTGGCAATGTTAGGATGATGTTAGATGTTCTTCTCGTTGAAAATAATCACGAACAAGGTTGTCAAGATCGGGATCTTGCATAAAATTGGGAGGAGATTATAAGATAGTAAAACATAAGATCGTAGCTAAGATCGAAAGATCCTACCCAATTATTTTTGTAAGATCGAGAAGGGGTGGCAGGATTGTAAGCCATAAAATCGTAACAAAAATCGCAAGATCAATAATACAAAATATTTGAAGTATTTTTACATGATATTTAGGTTGACAAGTGTATTCTTGGAAAAATGACCCCCTTTTTCATATTCTTTGTTAGACTTGTGATGGTGGTGGCTGGAAAACAGCCGATCGTGGTCGGAACTAGCCAAAATCACACAAAATCAATGGTTTTATGGATTTTTTTCTCTCAATTTGGCTACAACGCACGATTTTACTTAAGATCAAGATTGTTGGGGGTGAGTGAGATCGCAAAATCGGAAGATTCTGAGATCTAGTTTGAGATCTTGACAACCACGCAAACATGCATTATTTTGATAATTTTACTTATGCACTCAATTTTCTTTAAACTTTGTGATACTGATTAAACAATTTCTATATCAGGAATTCTATTATTATTCTTTTTATGGATTTCTGCTTTACTTGTGAACAACTTTAGGTGTGAGATGTTCTTAGAAAAAAGGAATCCTCCTTGATAATTATTGTTTTCTAAAGAAAACATTTGATGTTATATTTATTAAATAAACTCCACTCACATATAAAAAATTAACGATTTAGATTCTTAATACTAAAAAAATAAAAAAATAATGACTTGGATTCAACTTATAGTCATAGTTATGTGCCTTGTTTTGTGTTTCGTAAACATCATGGTCTGTCTTCTACTATTTGTTTTTGTTGATGTTTTATACTCATTGCACTATCTATTTTAACGTCATGCAGTCGTGAGTTTACTCATCGTGTGAAGTCAGTGTCAATGTCAAAGTTCACTTTGCAAGAAGTTGATGCTCTTCAAAATGGCGGTAATCAGGTATAAGGGAAAATTTTATTTATTTGTGGCTATTCTTTATTGAAATGAGATTTATCTGCGATTCTTTTGATTAAGCGTGCAAGGGAAATATATTTGAAAAATTGGGACTTCCAAAAACAACGGTGGCCAGATAGCAGGTACTAATATAATTTGTGGCTTGCGGTTACAGCTATTAAACTAACATGGTGTTCACATATCTAAATATGCTTAATTCATTGTGTGACATTATCGTGTATGTTTTTGCAGCAACGTTGATAAAGTAAGGGAGTTCATAAGGAATGTATATGTGGATAAACGATATGCTGGAACAAAGTCATCTGAAAAGCCTCCAAGAGATGCACAGGCAATCTATTCTTAGACATTGATTGTTTATCTGAATATGTACATATATGGCTAAACCTTGATTTGCCATTTCTTTTTCCATCTAAACAAAACCTCTGTTCTAAATATTATAATTCAATTGCATTGAATTCAATTCAGTTTAAAAAACGAAACGTGAAATTAAAATGTTATATTTCAATATGGTGATCACATTGATCTTATTTTCAATGCTGTGCGTATAATTGTTAACTAAAAACTTAGACTAGTGAATCATAGAAATCAATGAAAATACCTGCTAGATATATATCCAAATTATATTCAACCTTTAATTGAATGCTTAACAATTTTAACTGCAATTGTCTGTAGAGCCCCACAATTCATGACGACGAGATTAGACGTGCCAGTTCTTATCATTCATATTCACAAAGTCCTCCATATGATAATCAATATGAGGATCGGCGCTATGGAAAGCAAGCAGGGGCTCTGACGAGAAAGCCTGGTTCAGATAAAGTCCGTTATGAAGGGAAGATGTCTAGTATTATCTATAGTCCGGGTCGTTTCAGTGATCACACATATGATGAAAGGTTTGCAAATGAGGGATCTGGTCCACGAAATTCCGACTTTTCCGTGTCTAGTGGTCATGAGCAATTCAAAACCGATGTTCAGTCTCCTCAGTTTCATAAGGACATTGAGTTTAACAGCCCATCTCATAGGCGTCCTGGTTCTAGTTCAAGCGAAGATGTGTGGTCTCAAGCAAAAAAGGCAGCTCTTGAATCTAATGCTTCTCCCAAGAGAGATGCAGATGGAATTCGTCATCCGCAGGTTTGTCTTTCTCTTCTGATGAATTTCTATGCATGCTTGGTTAAAATAGTTTTTTTTTCTTCACTATTAATGGCGTACTAAAAGCCACTGAATAAAAGTAATGCTATATTAATATTATGGGAGTTCTTGAGATGCCCAATGAGATCTATTCATGTTTTCGTTCTTCTGATAGACTTACCATGTAAACTAAAATGAGATACCATGTATACTTTTTAATTGACCTTACTGATTTGGAGAATTGGAATATTTTTTATAGAAGGACCACTACCTTTAAGAATTAGGATTTAAAATTCACGTTTTATCGTGTGGTTGGTAGCGTAAGGGACTGTCTAGCTTTGTAATCCAAAGGGACTGTTCGAATCTCCACATCGGAATGTATGGCCTTGTGCCTCCCCCCTAAATAAATTATATTTTCCCTCTTATTATTATTTTTTAATATGTAATATAATGCTAAGCAAATAGTTGTTAGAGCAAGAGAAGACAGGAATGGTAAAAATCTCGAATGTAAACAAGAAAAAATAAATCGTGTATAGTTTACTCAGTAAGCTGGTCTTATGGAAGAGAGAAAATCAAGTCCTATTCATTAACAATGGTTTGTGATTTATTATGTTGATTATTGCTTACTACACCTCACTGTTGTCACTGTCGATCCTACTGTTAAAAATTCAATTGCGGTCTTCTTATGATGTCCAATCATTCAAGTCTTACCTGTTTGAATTGGCTTATTAGTTTGAGAAATTTATTATCATTAAATCTTTGGTTCTTTTGGTCATATTTTTGAAGCAAGTGGATCTTGTATTTCTCTGACATGTTTTACATGAAACTGGTTTGTTTTCTTTCCTCAGAGAACTACATCATTGCAACCAACAGACAACAACTTTTCAAACTTAAGATCTTACAATTCTGGCAGTTCAATTGATTTTTTCTCGGAAGCTGTCCAATCTTCAGGGTCCCTTCAAGATAAAGCATCAGGAATTTCACTGCCATCTGGTCCTGCAAGATCTGTTAGCTTAGATCTTTCCAAGGCGCCAGTGGCATCAGCTTCACCTGTTGTTCTTTCTCAAACAGCTGCACCATCTCAAGCTCCATTGGGAGATCTATTTCAATTATCTGATACGGCAGCAGTTACATCTTTCAAGGAAAATCAACCTACACAAATATCCCAAGTCGCATCCATTGATTTCTTTGTGGAGGCTACTACAACATCTGATGCAAAATCAGGAGAGATATCCATCCCTAAAAATGAAGGGTGGGCAACATTTGATACGCCTCAGTTCACATCTGCACAAGTGGAAACTCATGCAGCAGTACCTTTAAGTGCTGAACCTTTGCAGGATAGATTTGATCCATTTTCAACCTTGAATGATAATATGCAATGGCCATCTTTTGAAATTTCTAGTGTTGGTGTACCTCCTGTTGCATCTGATGTATGGCATGACGGTGTATGGAATAAAGAAAAACAAGTTCCTGTTGTGGCTACAGACACTCAAGTAAGTTCAGAAGTTGGTCAATTGTTGGTTTTGCATTCTTGCTTTTGTTCCACATTAAGCTTAAAAAAAAACATTACACAATAAATTGAAACATAAAACAGTTTTGTATTTTGCGACTGAACAGTCATGGAATGCATTTGAAGATTCTGGTACACATTTTCCTGTGGATGGCAGTAGTCAAGGATTAAATTTGCACTATTTTCCATCAGAGATTTCTGGTTTAAGTGCTCCTGAGGTTGGTGTATGCTTGCTGTATTGCCGTGATAACCTATATGATCAAATTTTTGGTTTAAGTTCTTCTATGATAAATACCAGGGGCCCAATAAAGATGCAATCCAAGGTGTTGCTCCTATTGGAGGTTTTGATAATCATGTAATCCCATCACACGTAAGCGACTCATCATATCTTTCACCACACTTTCTCTCCTCGTTTGTGCTTTAAGGTTGATTGTGATTTTTTTTTTATTTGATGTGTTTGATATTTATATGTTTCGTTATTAATTTTGCATTCTTTCATTCAGGGAGATACTCAACCTAATGGATGTGTTTGATATTTATATGTTTGGTTATTAATTTTGCATTCTTTCATTCAGGGAGATACTCAACCTAATGGAATCAGTCGTAAATCAACTAATCCATTTGATTTTCCCTTTAATTCTGATGTAGAGCAGAGCAATATGGTATGTCTTAGTCTCTTATTCGGTGTATAGATGCAGATCTATTGATTAGTATCTTATTCTGCCTATAACTTAAAACTTAAAAGTGTTTCTAATCTGTTTTTTATTTATTTTTTATTTTAAATTGTAATGTTCCGATTGACATTATTAGTTTTTCAAGCGCGACCACTCATCTTCAAAAACTTTCAAAATTGATTTCAGTTAATTCTTGAAGCATGAATTTCGGCCTTCTGAAAAGATACAAATTTTACAATGTTGGTCATGTGATATTATGACTGAGATGCTAACATGATTTTCAGTTTCCCATCATTTCTAATATGTTTGGTTTTCAATTGCAGTTCCTTGATATGGGCTCTCTGCAAGCTGCTCTTCCAGATGCCCTCTTACCAGCCGCATTTGGTGGTATCCCTGAACCCTGGCTCCCTCAAAATACAATGACACCATATATTTCTTCTGCAGGTGAAGGTAATCCTAAAAACATAAACCATCTCAGTAGTTAATTCAAACTGATATCGTCTGTGATTTTCCTACTAGAATTCTGCTCTTATTTTGATTCAATTATGTAGGTGGTTTATCATTCATGGCCGTGCAAACACCAAGTTCTCACTTACAGTAAGTTGCATTGCATTCATTGTCTTTTTTGTCTCTGCTGTTTATTGCTATAGCATAGCAGAACTTAGACAAACCGTTACTGTTCCACGATATGTTATTTAGTACAAATGTTGTCAAATATCTGCTATAGGCTATATTGCGGGGCGGGCGAAGAATTTAGGCCCGCACACCGTAATGTGGCCACCCCGCCCTGCCCCGTTTTTTGCGGGCTTTTGTGGGGGTGAGCCTTAACAAGGCGGACATGCCCGCCATCCCTCTATAGCACTATTTTACACAGCGGGATTTTAACGAACTCCCATTTTCTGAAATCCACGATTGGCAGCGCTATTTTCGACTGTGACGTATTAGCTCTTTTTCTTCTTCTATTTGTTTCTAAAACATTGACGAAAGACGATATAGTCGATCCTATGCATTTGTTTTCACTTGAGTTGCATGTTGACAGGAACATCCAAGTACAAGAACCAGTTGCTTCGATTGGCGGAAATCCTTTTGCATAGAAACACTTCCTGTACATTGTTTCCTAATAAAAATTTGTGTAGCCAGTGTTAGGTACTGAATGAAGTAATATTGATGTTTTTTAGATCAAAATGTAACTCATTACTTCCATTCCAGAAAGCATTGCAAATGCAATTCACAGTCCCTAATATAATTTATGTGATGATTTGTAATACTAATTGAACACTATAGCTAGAATTCTTGATATTTTGAGATTGAGACTATTAAGGATATCTCACATTATTCTAATAATTTTTATGGGTTTGTTGAAAATTTTAGGTTGATCTGTAACTAATAGTTTGCAAATTTAACTAAATCGGTTCAGTTCAATTTTTGGCGCAATCAGATTTCTTTGTAGCTATCAACTAAGCTGTTGAGTTGTTTCGATGAGAATATATTTTGGTTTTTTATAAAGAAAGTTTTTGTTCGAAATGGAACTATAATTTATATAAGAGAACAAGAACTATAATTTATAGAAGAGAACAAGAGAAGAAACTTTTTGTTCGATTTCTAACAATAATTTATACAAGAGAACTCAATGTAAAAAAGAAGATAAGATATGATATCACAAGAGAAATGGAGAGAAATACATGATATCTTTCATAAGGGTATGTGAACTAGATCTTAAAATTTTTGTATTTGCATTTAGAGAATTTCTCTTTACACCTAGTAGTGGTGATTTTCACCACTGAAAATTCAAAAATATCTTTTGGATATGCACTTTTGAACTCATTTATCAGCATGTTTCAGATGTGCATCTTTGAAGACACTTATCAGCATGTTTGGATTTTAAATTTTAGTCAGTGTTTCAGAAATGTATATCCGAAACATGTACAAGTTGTTTTAGATATGTATATTCGAAACTTCCTCTGTTTGTTTCGTTTATGTTTAAAACAACATCATTATAATTGTTGTATTTCAATTTTTGCTCCTAAGATCCCTTCATCACACTCATTCACAACAAGATCACACTAGGATTCTTGGTTCCCCTCCCTGCATTTAGTTTTGTTCTTTTGAGGGATTATCAAGCACCTTGACTTATGTTCCTTTTGTGATCATGAATATTGTTTTGATTTCTTCACTTAACTAATAAAATGCAATGTTAGTTTGTCTTGCTTGTTATCCATATAGGTAAAGGCAATGAGATTTAACAAGTTATCCCATGGGTTCATGAGTTTATGTTCATGTCCTAGTCAATAAAGCTGGATAAGCTCAAACCTCACCATTGGATTGGTTTTGGAAGAATTTGCATGACAAGTTTGTTTTGGTTCATCATATTTCAAGGTTATTAGATTTGACTCAAAAGTGCAAAAGGTTGATTGAAGAAGTTGTCATGTTGGACAAGGCGTTGTTCCTATTGGTCACAACAACATATTTCTCTCAAATTTCAAGATATGGAAGTGGTTTTGGTGGCTAAGAGTTTTCATTATCATCCTCAACAACTTCTATTCACAAAGCAAGAATGTTGGTACAAGAAGTTTGTTCAAGCTTGTCAAAGTTCCTCAAAGCATTTTCTTGATCTATAAGCTAGGGTTTTGAACTTCAAAGGGGTATATCTTGCTCACCTTTTGGTATTTTTGAGTGATTCCAAATACATCATTCTCTTCAAAGGGTTATTAACAAATCACTTCAAAAGTTCCAAGGAGTTTTCATGAGGAAGAGACTAGAGGAGGAAGCAAGATTACAAGTCCTCTAGATGAATCCCCAATTCTCCATGTGTGACTTCAAATGGTCATAACTTGGTCAATTTCCATCACCTTGAGTCCATTCTTTTCCATAGTGATCTTGAAGATGTGAATTTTATGCCTTCTTTTATGTGCAAAATGGGAAAATGGATGGAAGTTGCCTTAAAGATGCAAAAGATTATAGGTCATTTCATTTTTTTTCCAACTTCAACAAGTCATAACTTGCTCAAATTTTGGAGATTTTGAATGATTCAAGTTTCAAAATGTCATTCAAGAGATCTACTTCATGCCGTCTTTTTTGGTCAAGAGTAAATTTCAAGTGGAAGGCCATGTTTGGATGCAAGACATTATAGGTCATTTTTTGAAGAAGAATTTGAAATATAAGTGTGGAAAGTCAACCATTTTTCTCCAACTTTGACTCAATGCAACTTTCAGCTCAAGCATCCATTTAACTCCATTCTTTTTCCATTGCAAAACTTGTAACCTCATCTTTCTAAAGCATCAAGAATCATACCTTAAGACCCCTTGAGCCGAGGATGCCATTATTTCAAAAGTGGTAACTTGGAATTGAAGTTTCCTTGCAAGTCAGAATTTGAATTTCATGTTACAACCTCTAAACATCAAATTAACACGCGTTTTAGGTCTAAACATGATTATCCAACTTTTCCAAGTGGATTAGTGCATCAAAACGCAAGAATTGGATGAGTTTTGGTAAAGTTTGGATCACACTTCACTCGTGCATCAGGTTTGCACAAATTCCCTCCAAAACACATCATTCACTCTTCCTTTTGATCCCATTTGCTTCTCCTATAAATACATGTACTATCCCATTCATTTTTCCAAGCTTAGATAACCAGAATCACCCTGCCAAACTTGTTTCATAACTCAGAATTCAGTAACTTCAAAATCCATTCTCGAGCCTTTTTCAATTCAATTTTTCCATCAATTCACCTTCCTTGATCTTCCCTGAAGCTAACCACATAATTACATTCAAGAATCGTGCCCTATACTGCTCCATAGAAGTCCAGTTTCAGAGCTCTGCAACTCAACTTCAATAGGTAGATTCCTTCATCAATTCTTCAAAACTCTGATATCATTGTGTTGCTCTCATTGCCTTGGTTCTAGTCGCAACACCTACCTTTTATTGGAAACACGTTTTGACCATGAAATTTCAAATCCCTTTTCAAAACTTTTCTTCCAAATTGCTTGAGCTACAATTTATATAAATTTGGCGCGAGGGTGTGGTTGTCTTCGTCTTGAAGAGACGAAACGAATGACATAAGTCTGAGCTTCTGATTTTACAGTTTGAGAGACCAGCAATTCGTGATGGTTGGAGGTTAAAGATGACCAACGTGTCATCTTCCAACCAATGAAGGCGCGCCATCTGTTTTTTTTTTTCAAATTCTGATTTAATTAATGATTCTGTACATTATTCACTAATGACCATGATATGCACAACGCGCCAGATCCCTTGGATTTGATTACTAACGCGTTTTGACTCTCATCCAATGGTCCACATATTTTACTTTTATTTTATTTTTCTGATTTTTATATTTCAAAAAATCATAGAAAATTCATTTTTAGTCAAAAAAATCTGAAAAAATTATGAAAAATATTTTTGATTATTCTCTTTCTGATATTTATTTTTTCACAATATAATTTTGTGTTTTGGTATTTTTTATAAATTTTACACTTTATTTGATTTGTTTTAAATGCTAAAAATACTTTTATACATTTTTAAATTCTGAAAAAATTATGGAATGATCCAATGATATTGTGACAAATATTGGTGACCTTATTTTATTTTTGTTTCTGACTTTACTATTTTTATCATTTTTTGTTTATTTTACCCATTTATTTTAATTTTAAAAATAGTTTCTGACTTTAAAAATTTACCAAAAAACTTGTAAAATTATTTGCGCCTTTTTTATGATTTTTCTATAGTCTCACTTTTCATTTCTTGATTAATTTAAACATAGTTGATATTTTTTATCTTTATTTTCTATTTTTAAACATTATTTTTTAACCCTCTAATGAGTTCCAAATGCAAGCTTTGGTTCTACCAATCCTCTAATGAGTTCCAAATTCAAGCTTCAAGATGGTCATCCAACTAATCACTAATTATTGACTTGTCTTACCTTATGCTTTTATTCTTTTTTATGCTTTATGTACCATTTACTTTTAGCATTTACATTTCATGCCATTTTCATCTTTGCTCATTTGAGCATTTACTTTCTTGCCATTTTTACTTTGCTCACTTGAGCTTTTCTTTTCCTTTCTTAAGATACTTAATAATCAACATAAACCCTAAAAATATCTTTAATGGTACTTGGACTATTTGGTTACTATCCTTGGCATTATGGAGCATGAGACTTTTCTTGGACTTAGGATTAGAAACCTTGACCTATCTTGGAGACCTTATGATCTTATCTGATTATTTTGTCTGGAGTTCTTGAGGTTTACCTCAAGACATTGGGTTTTTTTGTACCCCAAAATTTGCCCTCCCATATTCTTCAAGATTTGCCAAAAGCATGCTTCAAAATATCCCAAGGGTTGCACAGTTCAAGGGCCTCCTAACAGTCAAAAACTAGGGTTTTGGTTCTGACAAAGAAGTTGAAGTTTCCAAGGGTCCAATCAAGTCCCACATGCCTACAAACATTGTCAAGTATCCTCATGTCAAGTTTCAAGACTCACAGCACAAAATTGCACAGTCAAATGCCCTAATTGTCCAGCAGTCAACTGTAGGGGTAAAATGGTCATTTGACAGTCAAAAGTTCAAATTTTTGGTCAACATCTTATTTTGAAGCCACAAACATCATTTGATCAATTCTTGATCATGATTTTCAAGGTATGGCTCAAAAAGTCTCAAGATGCAAAAGTTTCCATATTTGGACAGTTGAAAAAGTCAACTGTAAATTGACCAGGGCATAACTTCCACATGGTTCATCAGAAAAATTCCATCTAAAGCTCATTTTGAAGATAATGACATTTCCTAAAACTCATCTTCACACTTCAAGTCCAAGAAATACTCTCACAAAAAGTTATCAATCTCAACATTATAGGTCATTTCCAAAAGTCAACAAAAAGGCACTTTAAGTCAAAGACCATAAATTGAGATTGGTAAATCAAAATGACATGGGACCAAAGGCATTGGTTAGAGGACTTCAAGACCTTTCCAAAATGTCCAAGAACATGATCAAATCTTAAAAATTGAGCAAGATATGCCTTGTGGAAGTTGGGAAATTATTTGGGAATTTTGAAAAGTCAACTTTGCTTCAAATGCCTCAAAATTGCTAATGGGCCACAATTTCTTCCAA